TTATCTTAAAGCTGTTTCTCTTCATGTTTAGACACTCTGTACAGCTGGTGGAGACCTCCATAATATTGATGTGCAACTACTAAATCAAGATACAGTACAGCATATTCATAACTTAGTGGTAAGCTTAAACTAGTGGGCTTACATATAAATATTCAGACACCTAGTCTCAGGTTTTCATGTGAGATGCTGTTGTGAATACAAATTCTAAGTGCTTTAGGCTTAACCTCAGAAGGGTTAAACTAATTCATAAATTGGAGGGAGGAATAGGGCAGGGGAGGAACAGGGAGGGGAGAACTGCTGCATATAGATAACGTGTAAAAAGAAATGCACTTAAGTATGTGCAGTTTGGTAATCACCCAGGGGACAACAGAAGCATAAACTCTTCTTTCTGCATTGCTCTGGTGTCTCTCCTACCCTGTGAGCAAACTGCCACTCTCTATCTCTTATTCACAAAGGGTTACAAAGCTATAGCTAAGTTTCAGCTCTTGTTACAATCTATTGTTCTATGTCCCTTGCTGTAAGAACTATACTCCTGTTAATGGTCTGCTGCAGTTGAATAGTAACTGCCTTACCTTTGGTTCCGGGAAGTAAATTGTTCTGAAGCAAATGAAGTTGAACAGAACTTCATAGCACATACTGCCTGACTCTTCTGAAGATGAGGGTACCTGGGCTTTTGGATGAAGTAATGTGCAGCACTAGAAATCTATCTAGACATAAGAAATATTAATCAGTTTACACTCTTGCAGGTATTTAGACTTGAATGCAGCTATACGAGTTAAGCTAAAGGTCTGGAAGCTGTTTTGTATTTCATAACATGGGCCTGCCTCTATAGGTAGGGAATGGGGGCATGCTTGCTCACCGCTTGCTTTAGCAATAGTGACTTTTCTCTTTCTTCTTCCAAGGTCTGTTGGGTAGCTTGAACTAAAATGAATTTCTCCCCCCCCTTAGAGTGAGCTGACTGTACTATGTGGAAAGGCAACAGCTAAACCGAGTTAATGGAACTGTCTTGTGACTACAGAATATTCATGACAGCTTTTGCTTGCTGCCTCCGAAGTGTTTAGAGAATGTCTGTAATGTCTTAATAAAGCTGTATACTGCCCAGTAAATGTTTTTATATAAAAGCTTACAATGTGATGTGTATTATTAAATTCCTGTTATCACTGAGGATACAAAAGCAGAAGAAAATAATTCTACTTTTCCAACTTCTGTATAAATGGCTTAGTTAACATCTAACCTCAGTTCACAATAAAATGAACAGTAATAGGTTGTATGTCGGAAATAAGTTTTAACTCTGATATTCTAAATAGGACTTTGTTGTTTTACATAACTATTCCTAAGTATAGAGCTCTTCAATGTCATTCTTCCATGCATGCCACAAGCAGAATGTAGTGTTGTTTTACTATTCATGTTTAGTCTTCCCAGTATCAATCTCCTTGAATCAAACTCTGGAATTAAGCTGAAGTGGAAGTTTCTAAATTCTTGAATAGCATTTTAAGGCATGTAAATTTAGTTCTGTGGTGGCATATATGAATCTGACACAGGAATAAAACTTATTTCAAGCCTTGTGCCGTGACATTACAGTAATGTGCAAGATGACAGGTAGTAACCCAGACTTACTGTAATTAGTGGTGTCAACCCAATTTTTCTAGTACTTAGGTACTTTCGAGTAACTTGTAGGAAAGGCTTTCAGCATCTTTTCAGATAAAGATGCCAGTCCAGCAATCACTGCTGTGGGTGCGTGGGTGCTCTAGTATTTTCAGAACTTGAGAATGCACTTGGTTTTTATTCCGCCAGTGGTGACTTCAGTTAAAGTGTTTTCACTGTGGTAAAGGATGCTATGAAAGACTCCTACGCTCTTTAAACTAAAACATTAGTTTAAGAATGAAACCTAGATTAGTTTTTCTTCTGTTCTGCTTCCATCCTTGCTTTATTTAAGGAAAAAAAGAAAGCTTTCCAAGGCATGGAAGACAAAACTGGTAAAGAACATGAAGTTAAAAGTATCAAACCTAGACTAAAACTATGCTCTCGCTTGGTAACGAGAAAATACAGGAATAAACCTCTCATTCAGATTATACATGAAGTATACAGAACATTCATGAATAGTTAATTCTGTAACTCAGTAGTTTAACCTGAATTAACATCTGTTTTCCCTTAAATTGATAGGAGCATCATATCAGTGTGGTATCAGCTTTTGATTATTGCAGGCAAATGGACATTTCAACATGAATCATTTAACTATTAATTCCCATACTACACTAAGGTAACCAAAATCACAGTGCAGTACTGAAACCTGTAGTTATTTGGATTTTTTGGAAAAGGTATAGGGTTAGGCATGCTTTGCAAGACAGGCCAGCACACCTTTGTTGTGGATCTCACTTGGGGTTTAGGTATGGTGGTAGTCATATTACAAAAATAGCTGCTAGTGTTTAATCCAGCCTGCTCTTGTTAAAGCATTTTGTGAGTTGCAATTTAGAGATTAGCTTTTTTGTGACTAAAAGGCTACTACTAAGAGCTGGGCAAGCCTTTCTGGGCCCTGACACAAAGGGCAAATTCACAGGATGTACGCTGTAGTGAAGCACAAGGACTCTTCAGTCAGCTGAAGTCATTCTTATGAATTGTCACCAAGCTAGGAAGCCTCTAGAACTCCATTTATATCTACAATGTTCCTTTTAAATTTGGTAAGGGAGGTGTACGATTAAATGCCCCACACCACCTTTACAGTGATTGTTTGAACTTCATACTTGCATCAGCCTAAGGCTGTAGTGGAAGGTTATGGGTTAATAACTAAAATACAATTTTCCTATTGCATCCTGTTTAGAGGGCTGAGAAATTGCTGCATGTTAACAGATAGGTTTTTGACATGTTTCATTTTTTCAAACAGCAGTAATCTTTCCTCCACTGATTACCTCTAACTTCTTTTTCAAAATAACATAGCCTCATCTTTTATGTGAACAAGAACCACACCACTGTCAGTATCTTATGATTAAATTGGTAAATTTAAATGCATTTAAGAGGACAGATGAGACTTTCCATGAGAGTCAACTTAGGTTGGTTTTAGTCACTGTATATGCAGAAATAGGTATGTCACAAAATAAGCTGGAGAAGACTTTGTGAGCTTTTTTCCTTTTAGCTTCTTGAGGCCAATATTAAAGATATATAAAAAAAAAGTGTCAACTAAAAAATGCTTCTAATACAGTTCCGGCGATCACATTTTCTTCCTCCCCCAACATAGAAGACTTACTTGTTTATAGTACCATGTCTAACATAAGTACTTAAGTTTTAGCTGTTTATTATTGAGAACACTCAAGTAGTGTTTATTTGATTATTCATAGACAGTCACATTGTCTCAGTTAAAGCATTAATAGCTATTTTGAGCATTAAACTTCATCAGTAAACTACTGATGAAGCATTAGTAACTGTAGTAGTATATTGCTTGCAATTTAAATATTGAAACCAAGACAGTGTAGATTGTGAACTTATGTGAAGTTTTTTTACACTACAACTCTGTAAAGGGATACCCTCTTAGTAGAGCAGGAGATACATGTAATAAGGGCAACTCTGAAGATGTCACCACTCATTGAACGCTGCTGCTGTGAGGAGCCTGAATGAATGCAATCGCAGGCCTGAAACAGAACTAGACTAATTCACACTACACCCAGTGATCAACTTCCCCTCCACCCTTCACTTCAGCATGCTGTCCAGAAAATCACCATGAATCCCTTCCTCCATCCCCACCAAAAATGCAATTTAATGTAAGGAGATAAGAAGTTTAGAGTACATACTCTGTCTTCCAAGCAGGTAAATCCTAAAAGCAGAAGACAGGTGTTTTAATTGTTTAAGTAGTCTTACTTAAGCACCTGTCTTCTGCTTTTAAGCATTACAGGTTAAGATGACTAACTTCTTGGAGAAATGATCAGTATGTAACCATGTCTTCATGAAAAGCAACCTGAGGTTTTAATAAATGAAAATAAAGATTCACTAAATGAGAATGCCACAGCATAAGAAGTCAGTAGTGAAATACAGGTCAAACAGTGTTTATTCTTGCTTCAGTTTTAGAGTCAGTAACAAGGATGTTCAGCAACACTCAAATGCCAATGCCTACCCAAGCACATGGAAACCCTTTTTAAGTTTGTCCCTCCAACCTCACTGGCAAGGTGTCAACAACTATCTGAGCAATAATTAAACATGTCACACTTCAGATTTGTAAGAAAAGTAGAGGCATCTTTCAACTTCCTCGCTTCAACAGGGAGAGAAACCTTACTACAGAGAAGCAGCTTACCAACCGCAGTTCCTGCACAGTTCCTTAACATTGTAACTAAATGCTTAGATAACTAACTGTACCTGATAGTTATTTAAGGTCACATTTTTGCTTTGTTGTGGTATTTTTACCAATTAAAAGCATATAAAAAGGAATAGAACTGAAGCTGGAGAACTTAATGTTTTAATAGTTAAAAAAGAAAGTACAAACTACTGGAAAAGTAACAAAACCATCTACCTTTAGTTTGTTTCCAGGTCAAAAATTTTTATCAAGTACAATACTAATCTCAATCTCTTTACAAACTGTGTTAATGCAACCAGAAGTTGCCAGGCATCATGTTCATTTTTACAAAGATTTTTTTAAAACTGGAAACATTTCTCTAGGTAGTCAGGCTGAATCAGGCTTTGAAATGGATTCAGAGGCTAAGAGAAAGATGCCATTATTTTGGGATTTAATCATCTTCATTTAAAAGGCTTTGTTTTCTTCTGATTGACCTCAGATATCCTTGCGTTTTCTTCATACAAAGGGGACATGGCTGCAGCATTTCCTGTGCCCATGTAGTCATACCTCATCTCAAGAAAAGACTTTTATATGTGGCACACAATTGTTATCTAGCTGCAACCTAGTCTTAAAGCAGCTTCAGCCTCCCTGTGTTTATAAGATGTCTACCATCTAATTAGTCTCTTTGTATACAGAATAGTTAAAAGCCACTGGAAAAGTAAGAGTTACAAGGCAAAAGAAATATATTATACACCAACTGCTTTTATTTATTTCAGAAACCGTTCACAAGATGGTAGAAAAAAAAAAAACCCAAAACTTACAACCACTTCTAATTTAGTCTTCCATTGTTCCCAGTCAGCTCTAAACCCATTATGTGCAAAGCCCATTTACCATGCATCTAGATGATAGATACAGGCTATGAAATTCTTTATTCTACTTGTAGCAGCTTATGCAGGTGCAGCCAAATACCAAGCCTCAGGACAAATTGTACACAAACTTTACAATGTAGAATTTCAGTTTAAAATATGAAACTTAAAATCTACACAAAACTGGTAAAAATCAAGCACAGATACGAGGACAAACTTAAAACCCATGTGAAAAGGAGTCTTGTCTTCCTTTCAAGTGCTTTATTCTGCTACACAGTCAAAATGAAGATGTAAGCTTGTGGTTAGTTTAAATTACACTCTGTAGATACTATAGACCAATTTAGAAGTTACAGATACAGCAATAGATGTCCATTGGTTCATCTGGATTACTTATACAATCCAGCTGGATTGTTGAAAACAAGTCAGGCAAAATTTCAAAGAAAATCCTTGTGCAACTTTTTAGACAAATGTTTACTGATGGGCACACTGTACCCCAGGTCCGTGATGGCTGCTTTCTTCATCAGAACTATCGTTATAAGCTTCACGTCTCTGGCCACCACCTGAACCACGAGTGGTATCAAATTCCTGAAGATCTACCTCTTCTGCATCACCAATTACATTGGGAAATTCTGGTCTAGCTGGCAGAAGATCTTCAAGTTCCTGCCCCAAAAAAAGAAGTGTATTCAGTACTGCATCTACAACCGCTAAATAAAGTGACCAGTTTCCCACAACTTCAAGACTCCCTCTCAGAGCAGGTCTGGTTTAGAAGTCTAAGCTGATGCAAACTCTGAAGTGCATACTCATTTTTAAGTATTCCAAGTATTTGTATCAACTGGAAGACGCCACTTCAAGAAAGCCAACAGCTCCACATACCATCAACCAAAGCGCAATCAGTAAATACAGTTGCACTCTGAAAACTTATCACACAGTAGCAGGAAGATTCTTCCTCCTGCTCTCCTCCGTCCAACATCTGCCCGGCTCTTAAATACAGGTCCTGTAAATTCATATTCCAATGGGTATTTTCAAGTTACATGTTGCCCATAAATAACGTTAAAGAACAACTGTACTTGCATCTAAATTTAAGCACTGAAAGCAAGCACGTGAGGTACAACACACACACTTTGCATACACTGTCAAATGACGCCACCACACGCTTGAAAAACTACTTACTGAAAGCTTTTCTGGGCTAATCCAGTTATTTTCAGGAAACTGAACATCAAATTTAATGTAAAGATCCCCCTTCTCAAAAGGATTGCGATACTGTGGCATTCCTTCACCTCTGACTACGCGAACGCAACCTGTAATTCAAAGAGAAGTAAGCTACTTCAGAACAAATCTTTCTCTATACAATTCTCTTTATTTCTCTAGCCTGTCAGTTAACAGGACAACAAGAATGGGATTAAGTGTTCAAGAATCACAAAAGCATAGTCAAAGAAGTCTTTATCAGGTCAAGCTTACCTGGTTCAATTACTTTTCCAGGAGGATATTTAACCACAATTTGACGTCCATCAAGGTGCTTAAATGTGAACTGAAATCCACACAGTGCTTCAACAAGTCCAATCTTGTGTGTCATATGCAAGTCATTCCCATCCCGCTGGAACACCTAAGAAACCAAAACACAGGAGAGATCTTTTCTAGTCCTATAATCCTACCTCCACAAGACTCATTATTTAGAATTCATTATTTATTCTTAAAATTCAATGTCAGAGCAACAGCCTTTGTACACAGTTAACTTGATTCTGTTAATTCCAATAGCTTCACATGCTTAGAGAGTTTGTGCCTGATGAAAGCATCATCTAAGATAAGGCAAATCACACTATATACTATGAGGTAAGGTTCAAATTAAACGAGAAGGCCTGTATGGTAGCACTACTCTCTTACCCCCAAGATCTTCTACACAAGTAACCTATAAACAAAACTTATGACAGTTTGACACTATTTCCTGGAGTACAAAACACACTTTTAGCTTCACTAAAAGTCAGTCTAGTTTTACTCACTAGGACACAACGTACAGTATTTTTCAGAACTGTTAATACTGTAAAACTAGATGTAGTTCATTAGAAGACTAAGACAGGAGTGGCATCCACCATCTGGAATTTGATGCTGTCATGCACATCTGACTGTTCTGTATGCTTACAGACTGCTTCTCCCTTATCATAGTCAAAATCAACTGCGATGCCACATTTCAACCAGTATTACAGAAGAAAAGACAAGAATGTGTAAAGAGCTATGCAAAACTGATTTGACAAATTAGCAGTCCTTGACACAGCTTTGAAAAGCTTACAAAGTACCCAATTTCCAGATAACCAACATCATATCCTTAATATGTGACTGAAATTTAAATTTGTACTCAATGCTATTCTTTGTGTCACAACACAACTTCTCCCACCACCACCACTCCATTCAACATTTCTTCCAGAGTATAACACACAAACTATTTCTTATTTCATCATAAGGCCAGTAATACCTGGCCTTTCTAAACAAAAGCATTCAAAAAAGAAGCAGTCACCTCAACTCTGCCCTAAGGTAGTTTTAACACAGAAAAAGATAAATCGCAATACATAATTCAAAAGTGCAAAGTATATACTCCAGAACACAGTAAGCATAAGCCTTAACAAACCAATATAAAATAATTGTGTTTGTTTTGTTAAATGAATCCATAACATCAGCATTCTGTGTTCATTCCCACAACCACAGTAGCCGAGATAGAAAGCACCATCTGGGGATTTTAATAGGAGTTCCCTGCCATGTCACAAGGCATTGAAAAAAAAAAGCAAGACCTAGCATTTTGTTAGTGTCACAAGCAAAGCAGACTGAAGTTAACATCCTGAATGGCTCTTTACTGTGTCCACTGTATCAAAGTCATCCTGAGCCTGCCTGAGAAAGCTACCTTTTATTAGCATTAGGAAGCACCAGAATCTGCATGTCCTCTGGCTACAGACTTGCAAGTTTTTTCTGGCTCACCATGAAAGCCATGTTACTTACTATAAATCTATTAAAAGCTATTCAGCATCTCTCCCAGAGCTGCAACTATATGAATTACTTTAAAATGAAGAGACATCTGTATCACTTAAATATTAAAGACTAGGATAAAAGGCATTTAAAATATAAACTTAAAAGCATTACCTCATTCTCCTTTTCTTGGAGTAAGAGGACAATATCACCTGGTTCCACACCTGGAGCCTGATCTGCTTCTCCACTGAACGTAATTCTTTGCCCATGTTTCATGCCTTTGTCTACATGGACTTCAAGTATTTTTACCTCTTTGATCACCTTCTTCCCTTCACATTTTTTACAGCGGTCTTTTTCATTAATTACTTCACCTAAAGAAAGACAAATTTTGAGTTCAGAGATTTCCTCATAATTGCATCCGATTCGGAAGAAAAACTATTTTAAGGTAGGCTGAAGAATATATGCAACACAACTAGTGATTTAGATGTTGCTTTATGAATTCCTCACAAGAGGAAAGCCAGGCTCAATTTACCCTAGCTGGAAGAGGGGGAAGAAAAAAAAAAAATGGGGCGGGGTAGAAATACAAAGATACACATAACCTTCCAAGCTGTCCCATCAAGGATTTTGAAAAGTGAGAGTGCTTTAGAGAAAGGCAAAACATGACTTTGTCTATAGCTTCTAGTGTTCCTTAGGTCTTAATTTGACTCCAGTATCCTTACCACTCAACTTACTACTCTTAAAAAAAAGCCTACTTTTCCATTCCTTGTTATGCTGGAAGATGACAGCTATAAAAGAAAGGATGAAGCTAAAACCAAACTGAAGCATCTCCCCTCCCTTAGAAGTCAGAATACAAATTTCAAATTATTGCAATGAATTTAGGAAGCTTAGTTCCGCTTCTGTTAACAACAGTGAAAAAAGGATTACTGGGTTCTGTTCATTGACAGCCACATTTTGCAGTATACTACCACAAGAAAGTATTATGTAAATGCAGACAGAACTAGAGAGGCTTGCATACAAAATGGGGGGGGGGGGGTTAGGAGGGGGGGGTGTATTAGCTGGTCAAATCAGTTTCAAGCAAGAGCAATATATAGGTTTTCCCATGGAAAAGATTAAGATTTTCTGACACATAAGGGATTTCACTTTTATACTCTGAAATGGAGTAGTTTTTCACATTGTCCATCACCTCTAGCAGAGCAATTACTTCTTCCAGCAAACTGAAGAATGACTATCCAAAACAGCTTAAATTCTCTGTTCTACTTCATCTTTATTTTTCAAGTACACTATTGTGGTTGTACAGAGTAACCAAACTATTAGGCCACATGCGCTGTACAATTTCAGTACTTATTTCCAATACTGCTTTAAGCACCACAAGCAGATGCACTTGGCTTAAAACATTAGCCTTGCCAGCTTAAACCACCTTTCTGTGAAACAAAGCATAAATGTTATGATGCAGTTGAAACTACTACATATGTAGCCTAGGTATGTAAGCTGTGAAAACAAGATGTTCAAAGACAACATCATTTATGAAATATTTTGACTAGTCATGAAATACAACTCTCTGTAATTTCCAAGTATTGTGAAGAGTAAAATCATCCACAAGGTGATGTTACTAGTCTGCAAACTGCAGGAAGATATAAAAAGGAATCACTTGAAGTATAGATCATGTGCTGAACTCATTCCCCCAAACACAACCAATCCAGTAAAAGGTACCTTCTTAATTTGAAGAAGTTAAAATCGAACTTTAGGTTTCCATTTTTAACCTAAGCCTGTCTTTGGATATTAGGAGACTGCAAAATGACAAAAAGCTCCTAAACCAACAAAATCTTGGTTTTTACTTTAACACAAGGGTAACAGCAGTAAGTAATATTCACATCTAAATGTTTTTAAAAAACAATCAATCCCTGTCCTGCTGTTCAAGCTTCCAGGCTGCTTTTCAGCACATTAAACACTGTAAATCTTGCTGCTGTTCGAGTAAAATGATTTCTCGTCTCAGATTGAGACCTAGCGGACTAGATGGGAGCAAAACTGTTCTGCGTAAGTTCCTCCTGAGATTTAACCAGGAGGTTGAATCCAACTAAATGCATTTAGTAACATAGAATAGCTTGGCCTACCTTCTCCATTGCAGTCAGAGCATACAGATTGCAAGGAGCCAGCTGTCTAATCATGATACGTACACCTCTACCCCGGCAAGCATTACATTTCTGAACGGCTCCAGCCTTCCCTCCCTGCCTAGAATAGAAAGCACCAGTTGCATGAAAAGTATTTCAGAAACATGACAAAAAAACCCCCTACATAGGTAGGTTAACATGCCTAATTGCACTGCCAATTACAATTAGGTTCTCTCTTCCCGCCTTCCCCCCAAAGCCCTTGAATAGTTCTAGTTCCATCAACTGTATCACTCAAATTCAACAATTTTCTAGTCTGAGAGCAGGCTCCAGGAAGTCAAATACTGATACAGATCTGACATAGGAGATGCTTCATTACACTATATGCCAACAAAGCAATCGGAGAACTCAAAAATATAAACAAACTTACCCATTACATGCACTACAAAGGACATTCTTGCTAAGTTGTAGTTTAGTTGTCTTTCCATTATACAGATCTTCTAAAGAGACTCTACAAAATAAAGTATTTCTCCTGGGTTATCATTTAACAACTTACTTTCCCCGTGTAGTCAAAATACTTGCCGAGGACATATCAAAGAAAAACAGATCTTCGTAAAAAGATTAAATCTGTTACTGAAGTAAAATTTTAAGGCACCATTTTCACTTTCACAAGGAGTCATTTAAAAAATATTCCATACATATGAATATACACCACATGTAATCCTGAACATCGTTTCAGAGAAAAGCTGTAATTTAATCAGAAGAAATCAGATAGGATTGCTTGTGTTTCTCAATAGGAAACAAGCATTTAGGTTTTGGTGGGGTTTTTTTGGTGGGTTTTTTTGGTTTTGTTTTTTTTTTTTTAGTTCTACCAGGCAGGTGAGAAACAAACCTCTCTAGACCATCCTGCCAATATTTATAGCATGCATACATAAGAATACATACAGAATACTTACTACTGTATTGAGCCTTCCACACCAGATAGCTTAGTGAGCAGGGGTTAGCATGTCCCCAAGGCCACTTAATTCTTTAGATTTGTTGATGTTTCAATTTTTTTAGAAGCTCCTGAATACACTATCAAACTCCAATAACCTTCATATATTAACAGAAGTTTATGAACACATCTAGTGTTTCTCTTTGCTAGTGCATACAAATTTCAATTCAATGTATTGAGAAAAGGTTGCCTAGCATCAGTGTTTACAACTAACAACAAAACCAAAGCTAATTAATAATATAGCGTGCAGTACTAGCTACTAAACTAAGCAAGCATGTAAAAGTAAACAGACTTTACTAAGCACATTTTGCCAACCACAGGAAAGATGCAGCTTAACTTAAGAACTTAGAAAGGACCTGCTCAGCAGGCAAAAAGCCAGTCATGACTGCAAGCAGAGATCTACAAAACACAACTAGATGTGATATTTAAGCATGGCTTTAAAAAAAAAAAAAAAACCACAAAACCCAAAATCAAACCACCACACACACTTTGCCATTAATTATGCAGTTCAACTTTAGTTCCAGCTGGTATTATGCTATGAATGCAAGTCAACTTAAGTCTTTCCAGAGCCTTCGTACTTCTGCTTCCCCAAGAATCCAGCTAATGAGTAATACTTGGTTGTTGAATGCTTTTTGAGATTAGAACTTCCAAACATAATTAAGTAGCAAAACCAAGGAAAATAATGCTAACAAAGTATATACAGGCTAATAACCAGGCAAAGCAAAGTATTAGGCAGCCTGTAAGATTAACCAATAATGAAAAGTAACTCAAGATGACTGCCTTCTGGGCTACACATGACATGCGGGTCTGAGAAGTAGGTGCACACTGCAGAATATCTCAACTGAGAAGCATATCAAGAATATAAACTAGCAGAGTCAAGTCCGGATCAGGAAAGCTTGAAAGCACAAACTGCAGTATCAAGATACTCACTTGAGTGGATGCATCATATCTTCTCCTCTTCTTCTACCATTACGACTTCTACTTTGACCACCCATGAAATTGAACAATCCACCACCAAAGATATGGGAGAAAATATCGTCCATTCCACTGCTTCCACCGCTACCTTCTCGAAGACCCTGTTCTCCGTATCTATCATATAACTCACGTTTCTCTGGATTTGACAATACTTCATAGGCAAAGCTTATTTCTTTGAACTAGAAGAGGAACAGAGTCAAAACAGTGCATGATAATTTAGAACTTCAAGGGAGCATTTTGCTACTGTTTCTTGCCCAGCATGAACACTCAATTAAGAAGGTACATGACAGAACAGTTTTCCACTCTCATTCTAATAGGCAAGACTTAGAATCATAGGATGCTTTGGGTTGGAAGGGACCTTTAGAGATCATCTAGCCCAACCCCCCTGCAGTAAGCAGGGACAGCTTTAACCAGATCAGGTTCCTCAGAGGTCCAACCTGACCTTGAATGTTGCCAGGGATGGGGCCTCCACTACCTCTCTGGGCAACCTGTTCCAGTGCTTCACCATCCTCATTGTAAAAAAAAAATTAGAAGTCAGATGTGATCTTAGTTGTGTTACTTCTTATCATAAAATATGACATTTCATTGCAAAACCTCATTGACTTTGTTCTTTGCTGTGCCTAGCATAAGACAGTTTTCTTACAAACAATAAAATCCAACCAAAGAAGAAAATCCCCAAGTATGCAACACTGCAGTAGCCAACAGGCAAAAAAACCCCAGTTACGTACTAATGGCAAGGACTTCAAGATATGTTAGGCACTTAAAATACGCTAACAATTGAGCAACTTACTAAAAATGCATATTAATGTGTTTGTCCTCAAAACAAATTAATATCTTTTCATAGGCATCTCTGCTCACCTAAGCAACCATTGGAACTTCAGTTCTGTTAAAGAGAATCAGCTGAGTCAACTTAATTGACATTTTTTTAATTGCTATTAGCATAACAAATCTAATTCAACCTTCCCACATATGTAATTTGTTTTATGCTGCAGCAGTTTCAAGAACCTCCACACATACATTTTTCCATGCTGGAAAAACTTGGAAAACTGACTATCTTTTTCAAACACCTATGTAGATGCCAATGCCAGCTGACATCATCTCAGCAGATGAAGAGAGGCAGTTTTTCCCTCAGCATTACCTTCTCAACCAATTTGACTTAGCCAACTGCTACATTTTCTCACAAGGTACACTGGTAGATTTTGAGATTGGGAAGACGTAGACAAGACAGGGTTCCCTCTCACAGTTATTATTTTTGAACAACTTGTAACAGCAAGCCCCCAACACCTGTATTTGGTCTAGTGGATGCTACTGTAATAGCAAACTTCAGGAGTTCAAAAAAAAAAAAAAAAAAAAGTCTTACTTTGTCCCCTGCATTTGGATTCTTATCAGGATGGTACTCCTTGGCCAGCTTTCTGTATGCCTAGTTGAAAGAGATACAAAATTAGTTAAATTTTGATTAATCAGTTCTTTTCTGAGAAACTCAAGTAGTGTCTTCAGGAAGAAAGAAAATCCTAATAAAGCAAAGTGAGAAAATGAGTGTTTTGAAATCACTCATACATTGAAATGATACATAAAAAATTCTGACACTGCTATATGCATAAATTAACTACACTTGGATTTAAACACAACTATAGCACACAATAGCTAGAACTAGTTTTCCTGCTTATCTTCATTAACTTACAGGAAGAATTACATTGGACTTTCATTAAAATGACTTACTCGCAGAACCCACTCAAAAGCTACAACAATTTGAGTTTTAACCCATTTGTCTTTCACCTCAATCACAGCAATACATTAACAACAAAATGGCTGCCTCAGCTTCTCATTCAACCCTATCAGTCAATCCTCAAAATAATCATTTTATTCTTCCTTACCTATCAATAACGGAAGATTTCATCTCACTTTGAACTAAGTATATGAGTTACATGTGCAGAAATGTACAGATCGTTGCTTTTAACTTCATTCTTCTAAAACAGTAGGGGGAATAAGAACAGCCAAATCTCCAGACAAGATTTTTTCAGAATGCTTTTTTTTTGACCACTACTTTGACTCTCAGGACCATCACTTTTTCTACAGAGGTACTTCACCTGTTTTGCTTATACTTTAGAGGATCAAAACAAATAACAGGACAGGCAGGGACTTTTCCTACAATTTGAGTTTTTCACAGTAAAGACCTCAACTCTTTGCCCACTCCACCTCAACACCCCCTGTAGCAATCAGGGGACAGATATTAATAAATTACATGGTATACAATCTTTTAATTTTTTAATTACACATACAAAAAAAAAGCTACAGTGATGCAACTGCAAACAACTGGAATACCGGTTCTTAGAGCGGATTTTTCAAAAGCTATTTCTGTAGAACTGAGCATCTAAACTAGCTCTTTAGAACTACAGCGCTAAGAGAGCTTTACACATAAAGCTTTACAGAGATCACAACTTTCCATTGTGTACTGGAATAAGTAAGTTTCCTTTTTTGCATCTGCACAGTTATTTCCCTTTACTGATTTTCTTTAAATACTCTGTACTTCTGCACGCAATCAAGAAATGAAGTTTGATAATGAACTAATGAAACAAAAATAGAACATTGGTATTACAAGCCAGATATTCTAAACCACAGTAAGCATAAAGAACAAAAATCACAGGTCTTATAGGACAAATTACCCCTCAGTAACAAAGCATAATCTTCCACAAACCTATGTATTCTGCAATAATAATGGATTTTGCCCACATATTTTAAGGAGTCTAACCAAGGGAGAAAAAAAAAAAACACAAACCAGAACACTAAACAGAAAACCTACATAACATTATCTAATCAGGAAAAAAGGGGCTTGCATGGTGATCTTTAAAAAGAGCAAGCACTCATGTCTTTGCTGATAACAGCATTCCAGTTTACAGCAATTCTTAAGACTACCCATGACCCAAAAGGAAGCTACCACTATTTATTTAATGAGAAACAGATCCAGAATCAAGGTCTATGCTGGCACCGTATTGTTAATTTAACAAATCAATGTTAGCACCTGTTCTCTCGGCCCCTTTTGACTAAGCTATTACCTATTTGTTTTCGCTTTCCTCTATTGTTATATAGATTAAAATATCAGATTAATAAAGCATTCATGTGACCTCTCAGTGACAATAAGATATAGATGAACCTCTTGCTGTTGCAGGCAGTTGGAAACTTTACATTCCATGATAACACTAATCTATAGCAATTAATATTGAGCAGCACAGGTCATCCGAGTGCAAAACTGCTCTCAGTTTTTCATTCTTACAGGACACAGATACCTTTAAGAAAATTCAGTAAGAAAAAAAGATATTCTACTTGATTGTGTTTGGTATACAGCACTATCTTCTCACCACATGCCTTGCACCTCTAACACTATTTCAACACTGCAATTGCCTACCCCTGCACAAATTAGGCTACCACATGCATGATGGGTAACGCATAGTTGTTAATACCAGCACCACCCGTCAGCGGAAGCAGGTCACTGCTAGTAAACTGGGTAGCTAATTACCCTCCCTCACGTGTAAATGGTCTTCAAGTCCTTTTGGGGAAAAAAAAAAAAAGTGGTTTATACACTACAGAATGAAATGGATGTAATGAATTGTTACACCGATGACCTGGCTCGAAGTTTTCACCGCGCTTCTTTGTTTACCTCACCTTGTCGCTTTCGGCCTGGAGGGATCAAATACATGAGCAAAACGAAACCTTACTAAGGCCCACACGTGGGGCAGACAATGGCACCGCTTCCAATTCACCGGTCCTACGCGAGGATTCTCACAGGCACAACCGCCTTTCGCCGGCTGCGGCC